AGAAAGCAGTTAGAGGCATGGGCTCCCAACATGCTCAGTTGGCCCCACGGGTACTACCTTTTCCTCCTTTCCCCCCTTATCTCTACCTGATAAAATGCGCCACAGTGTCCGCACACCTGGTTTGCGTGGTTCATATCTACCCTTTAGCATGTTTTAACTCTTCAAAAGGAAACTGGTCAGGAACCATAGAGGAGTCTATAATCAACAAGGAGGTATTCCCAGAATACAAAAGAGCTCTCAGGGTTGATGATGGCTTTGTAAAATTAAGTTTGTGTAATGAAAAAGATGGGGAGAGATCATAAGCTTATGTAAATAAGGTAAGATTTTGAGTTGAAAGAGATGCTTAGATGCCAAGATCTAGGCACACCGTATATGTGCACACATATGTATATACATACACGTGCATAGATGCACACATACACATATGCATACACATCTATACAAACACATGTCATGGGAGAGTAGCTCCTTAAAGGCTGCAGGGCCACAAGGCTTTGCACTTGATTGACACCCATGGATGTTTGCTGAATTAGAGCAAACCTCTACTGTGCCCATCCTGTTTTTTTTATCGTTGACCATTGCTCTCAGGAGTTAATGTTTGAACCTAGCCATAAAGAAGTTAGCAATGCTGACCTATGGCCAACATTCAGAGGGGAAGGACCCCCCCTATAAATCAGCTCACACTGGACAGCCCCGCCAGTAGAGCTGCAGATCAGCTGTGGAGGAAGCCTTGTTGCCAACATGAACTTCTCTGGCAAGTACCAACTGCAAAGTCAGGAAAACTTCGAGGCCTTCATGAAAGCAGTCGGTGAGTGCCAGTCTGGACGCCAAGGCTGGGGGCTGCAGCAATGAGGGCCTGGCCCTGCAGATGGTGACAGGTGGTGACTAGTCGGGGTCTCAGTGTTGGGATAGGAGGAGAGGTTTAGGCTTTGCACAGACCAGGGCCCATGTCATGCATGTAACTTCTGCAGTCTTGTGCAGCTTGTGCTGTTACTCAATGGACAAGTTACTCCATAGGCAAGTGCAAAGACCACTGAACTCGGGTGTGGGCTCCCAACATGCTCAGTTGGCCCCACGGGTGTGAAACCACCTCTGCTGGTACCTCATTGGGTGACCCTATCATTCATTCATTCATTCTTATTAAGTCTTCTAACAAATATTGATTCAAGGCCAAATATCTGCTGAGCACTGTGCCCAATAGATACCAGTGAGACAGGTAACAATGAAGCACATTTTGAAGGTCACAGTTTAGAGGGAGCAAAGAAGAAGAAATGAATACAGTAAGTGTCCCCTAACATATGCTGAGTGCTGACTTGGTGCAGGGCATTGTGCTAAGCCCTTGATGTGCAATATCCCACACCAAAACTCTGAGTTTTCTCATTTTACAGTTGAGGCAGTTGAGGCTTAGAAAGGTGAAGTGATCCCCACCAAGGTCATGCAGGTCAGAGTGTTTGCACTGGGATTTGAAGAAGGTGCTGGTTCCCAAAGACCCCACTTTAACTCCCTTTACCCCCCAGAGTTATGAACAGAAGGATGTGGCACTCATGGGAGGGTATGGAAGGCAGGCTTGGTGGTGGCAAAGGTGACCCTTCGCTGATGGGCAGGTGTCCACTTGGGGACAGGGGCAGGAGGCTGTGCTTTGGGTAGAGGGAGTCCTGTGAGCAAGGGACAGCATGTCAAGGAAGGATGCCAATGGGTAAAGGATGGGGAAGACACAAAGGCCGAGTGGAAGCCGTGTGGGGCCCACCAGGAGCTGGGATCTTCTCCTGCAGCACAAGTCACCCCACCTCTCTGTGTCTCGCATCCCTTTCCCCTGCAGCAGGACCCTCCACCCCCGTAGCCAGGGCTAGTGGATTTGTGAACCTCAGTTCGTATAACAGTGCAGACATGTCCTGAGAAAGCTCTGTCCCAGGGCAAGGACACCTGCTTCCTCTTCCTCAAGAGCCTTCGCTGTCAAGCCTGGGGTGGGGAGAGGTGGGCAGAAGTTCACAGGGCACAGTCCCAGTGTCCATGTTGTCCTGCCATAATTATTAACAGCATCCCTTTCACTCTTAGCAGTGAGCTGGCTGGGAAGGTAAAGTGGATGGCCACCCTGGGTATGGAGAAGGAAATGCCTCCGAGCAAAGAGCGAAGTGTCTGGGTGCTAAAGCAGCAGAAAGGAAGGAGAAGGAGCAAGAACCTGGGTGCTCACTAGAGGACAGGTTCTTCGGGCCAAAGGAATGTCTTTTTTATAAACCAACTGGCAAGAGAGCTGGCTGGTCAGGTCAGGCCAAGTCAGGCCATCGACCTTGCCTTTCAGAGGTCGAAGCCCATGCTGCTCACAGGTGTCCAGTACGCGCCTGTGGTCTCCAGGGAGACGGCATGTTCCTCTCCCCATTCAGGCCACAGAGTTTTTCTTGCGACCCCCACCTCTGGCTCTCCCTGACCTCAGATGGTTTCCACCAGGGTTGTCCGACGACCTCATCCAGAAGGGGAAGGACATCAAGGGGGTGTCGGAAATCGTGCAAAATGGGAAGCACTTCAAGTTCACCATTACTACAGGGTCCAAAGTGATCCAAAATGAATTCACCTTGGGAGAGGAGTGTGAGCTGGAGAGCATGACAGGGGAGAAGGTCAAGGTAAGAGTGCCCCCTCGAGCCACCCTCTGCTTCCAGAACTTTCCCGGGAACCTGGCCCCGGGACTCCTCCCTCAAGGCTCCTCCCTTACAGTTCCCACCGCAGACACTCTACCCCTGAACCCACTTCTGGAGTCAGAGGCAAAGAGACAAAGATGCTTTTAGGGAAGAAGCTCTCAAGGAAGCTCCTCCCGCTTTCCAGCAACCTCTGGGGCTCTCTGGCCCAAGAGTCCGAGCTCTCTATGGAGGACATGGAGAACCAGGCACAAGCAGGAGTCTGCCTCAGGTTCTCTCAGGCTCAGCAGCGAGCGAGTGGGAAATCAGTGAAAAACGGTTAACAGAGCTCTGAAGTCACCCTTGAGCCCAAAGCAAACCAGCCTTGCTGAGCCTGGAGCTGGTGGTCCTGGGGAGAGACTTCCTAGAGGAATACCAAGGCCCCAGGCAGGCCCTCAGCCCAAGACTTCAGAGGGACCACTGAGCCCCTGGCCTCGGCTACCTCATCTGTGAAATGGGCTGAAGGCAGTGGGAAGGCAGCATTGCTTCTGCTGGGCTATGGTGAGGGCTGTGTGAGTGGTTGGCAGGCGGTGGCAGGAGATCCAGGCAACAGGGTGTGCCTCACGAGGGACCTCTCCTCCTCCTGCTCGGACACTGTGCACACCCAGCACAGCCAGTGCCACAGAGCATCCTCCTCCTCCTCCTCCTCCAGACGACTGTATGCACTAGGCTCAGCCTGTTGGTCTTTTTATGTCTCCTGATGGCTCCTCATTTCTCCTTCTCCAGATACCACATTAAAGGCCAGGAAATGTGTGATAAATTATAGGAGGGAAACTCTCCTGACTTGCCCGGCGTAAGGCACAGGCCTTTCCCAATTGTCCATTTTTGAGGCAAAATTTTGACCTTGGCCAGTGTCTTCTGCTCCCTGCTGGATGCATAAAGCTTGACAAAGAGACTACAATAGGAAAGGCAAACATGCTGGAAGGAGTAATACACACCCCAGTGACATATGTGTTCCCTGACTGGCCAGGATTTTGAATGTTCTTACTGTCTCCCTCCATCAGCTTGGAGAATTGAGATCCTGCTTGATTTTATTTTGGTACTTGTATCTGAGACCATTCAGGTGTCCTCTTCTCATTTGTAGTTCACAGAGCAAAAATAACAAATTTGACAAAAGAAGCCCTACCACCTTCTAGTTCTTCAAGGTACCTCCCTTCTGTTTAGAAGCACAGACCTGGGGGCTGGTGTTATACAAAGATGGGTGGTCTGCTTGTTGGAAGCGCAGATCCACACAGGAGAGCCAACCTCAGCCTCAAGGATCTTGCTTCCTCTCCAGACCCTTCCTCACAGACCATCTCTTTGCCCCCTGCAGGCAGTGGTTCAGTTGGAAGGTGAGAATAAACTGGTGACAAGCTTCAAAGGCATCAAGGCCGTGACCGAACTCAACGGCGACATAATCACCAGTGTAAGTTGGCTCTGAGCTTGTGGCCCCCTGTGCTGGAGGGCAGAGGAGGTAAAGGGTGTGGAGCAGCGCTCCCCGCCACCCTTCCTAGCATCTCTGCCACCCTTACTGAGGACGGTTCTGTACCAGGCAGTTCACATATTGTCTCTTATCTTCCCAACAGCCCTGAGCTGTCCAAGTGGGTAAACTGAGGCAAAAAACATCAGGGAATGACAGAACTTGCACTCTCCTGAATGGGGTCTACCTCACAGGCTGCCATCCACCTGTACACTGCGCAACCCTATGGGAAGCCACTCCCATTATAGACAGTGTGGATTTGTATACTTCCTACAGTCTTACAGTGGATGCCAACAGAGCCCCTTGTTTTAACAAAACCAGTACAGTATGTTTGGATAGTTTTTCAACAAGTAGAATTACAGCCTCTTGAGGAAATGGAGCCCTTTTCTGATTCACCAAAGGCCCCTGCGCACTGGGGGTGGCCCGGCCAGGGCTCCCCACCTCTCCGGAGTCCCTTCAGGCCATCCTGGTCAAGGCCAGCCACTCCAACCTCCCCACTTCCTTCTCTCCTCATTGCCACCCCCATCTCCTTGCATGCACCCAGACAGGATGAGGTAAGAGAGGTGCTCAGGAGGAGGGGAGAGAAGAGCCCCCGGCATGGCCCACCTTTCTGTCTCTGTTGCAACGTAGCCATAGACTCGCTCCCAGTCATTTATAAGAAAAATCATATTCATGGCAACCTTATGGCAGCTTATGAGTCTGGCCCACTCCAGTCGCACACTCATCATTGGTGCTGGCCTTCAGCCAGGTCCCTGCCCCGATGTGAGGGCCAGTAGCACAGTGTTTCTCCTGCTGTTATGTCCCTCTGGTTCTTCTTTGTCCCCAGGATGTCCTTTGGGGAGTAACAGAAGGCAGAATACTGACCAAGGGGTCTGTCACAACCCTGTTCAAGTAGAAAAATCCCTCAACCAGGGCCAAGTGCAGGGCTCAACCTGGAACACGCAGTCCCCACCCCGACCCTGGCCTGCTGGTACCCACAGGGCAGAGGGAGATAAGCCTGCCCTGAACGACTGGACTCAGTCTTGGCCAGCGTCGTTTGATTTACTTTCTCTCCCCTAATCACCCCATCTCCTGGGAAGGAGGCAGGATGAAAGACTTAATAGACAGGTTGGCCTGTCCGGCTAGTGAGCTGTAGAACTGAGTTCAAACCGAGATCTTTCCATTCCATTCCATTGCTGCTGAAGCTATGGAGCTCCTTTTTAACTGTGATGATAATACCCCACATCACTGCCACAGTCTGATTCAAGAGAAACAGTGATGGGTATGGGGCCTGGGGGAACATCCTTCAGTAAGTCAAACACTGATGAATCCGACGAATCCAGTGGTTTTATATGCTTCACAGTCCTTTGGGAAGAAAATTTTGCATTACCTACTGTTTTCCAAGCTTGGTGCCTGGATGCCTCCATGTACATGTGTCCTTGGTCCTTAACACAGATTTGGTACATAGTAGGCCCTCAGGTAGACTTTAAGAAACTGGTCTGGTTTGGATGGTCTTGCTCCAACAGTGTCGATGTAGAAAGGAATTTGGTAAAAGGTAGGACAACTCTCCACACGAAGAAGTAAAGTGACAAAGACTTGGCATGGGATTTTAGAAGAGATTGACCAAGCCTTCCTCTGGGCTTACAGAAACAGAGGGCTCTTGGGGTTGCTGCATATGTTAACATATTTGGGGCTATTTTGTGGGCTTGATTATCTTTTACAATTTGACCTCAGATGAACATCCCATGATTTCTTTTCTGACTTTCAGACTATGACATTGGGCGACATTGTCTTCAAGAGACTCAGCAAGAGAATTTAGACAAGTCTGCATTTCCTATCCTTTTACTGTGTAAAATTAATGTAATAAAGTGGACTTTGTTTAAAAAAAATGTCTTTTCTTCTCGATGACTTTTCATTGATGGGGCTTTTGGCATCATTCAGCACCCAGTCATGTATATTTTTCTAAATGATCACCTGTGTGTTCCATCCTGCCGGTTCAGGTGTGAAGGGCAGGTCTGAAGGATGAGTCTCACCTTGAATGCAGAGCTCAGGCTGCCCACTCAGGGGACCCTGCAAGGACCACCAGATGTGCCTGGATGTGTAGGGCAGCTCTGGAATAATCCCTCACAGTCAGCCCCACTGGCAAGGAGGCATGCGGGAGCGAGAGGCTGTGCGGCAGGCTGGCCCTGAAGGTGGCTCTCTGTGGGGACAAAGAGGAGCCATACCCACAAATGTGGTCACAGCAGCTCCACCCATCAGGTGGAGCTAGATTCCGATTTGCCAAATGAACTATTTGCCTTTCCAGAGGAGGGCTGAGTGAGGAGCTTACCACGAGGTGCCAGAAGGGCAGAGGACACTCTGGTGGAAATTCCCTCCGTTCTATGGACAGAGGCAGAAGGTGAGAGATTTCTCTGGATGGCAGTTTGTACCAGGCTTTGGCAGTGTTATGACTTGGGTTGCCTCCCCACAATTCACACACTGAAGTCCTAATCCTCAGTATCTCCGATGATAGCCTTATTTCAAAATACAGTCATTGTAGATGTAAGTAGTTAAGTTAAAACGAGGCCACACTCTACTAGGGTGGGCCTCTAATCTAGTGTGACTATGTCCTTTAAAAAGAAAGAAATTCATGGACACAAAGACACACACACAGGGAGTATGCCATGTGAACTTTGGAGCTACGTGGCCACAAGCCAGGGACCTACCAGAAGCTGGGGTAGAGGCGGGCAACGGGTCCTTCCCGCCTCCTTCAGATGGAGCATGGCCTTGTCATCACCTTGATCTCAGACTTTGGGCCTCCAGAACCGTGAGATAATACCTTTCTGTTGTTTAAGCCCCACAGTTTGTGGGACACTGTTATGGCAGCCCCAGCAAACGATCACAGGTCTCGTTCCGTGTATCCAGAGAACTGCCAAGCTTGAGCATTTCTACATCATCTTTCTCTGCAGCTTTCAGAACTGTGCCCAGCCCACAGAAAGTGTTCAATGAAGATTCCTTAGTAAATGAATGAACCTGTCACGTTTCCCATCTCCTCCCTTCCCATTTCTGGAGTTGAAAACCCGTTACTTGTTACTTGGACTGTTTCACAGCCACTGGGGTATCTCCCTGCTTCCCCGGGGAGAGCATCCGCGAACTGCCACTCCACTAAAAGTCGTCTTCCTTAAAAATAGCACTGGTCATGTTTCCTGGTTCACGGCCTCTCACCTAAGAGTCAAACTCCTTAACCAGCACTGCAGTCTCTATAGTAGGCATCAATAAACTTTTCCTGTTAAAGGTCAGAGAGTAAATATTTTGAGCCCTGTGGGCCACCCAGTCACTGTCACAGCTCCCAGTTCTGCCATTGTAGCACAGAAGCAGCCACAGCAAAACATGGTCATTAAATATTATTCTTTTGATTTTTTAAAATCATTTGAACATGGAAAACCATATAAAAATAGGTGGCAGCTGGATCTGGCCCATGGACTATAGGTGGCTGCCATTTGCTTCATCATAGCCTGTCCTGCCTTATCTAGCATCACACCCTTTCCTATAATATACATTCCAATCAAGGTAAACAACCTCTTATTCTTCTCATGACTTAAGTGCCACCTCCTTCAAGAAGCCTTCCTAAGTTACACAGATGTAAATACTCTTTCCCTCTCTGGAAAATTTTATTTGCACCCATCTATTGCATGAACTTCTTCTGGCTTTGCACCATAGTTTTCTCCTTGTTTTTGCCCTCCTTCTCCTCCATGGAGAGAGGTCTTGGAAAAAAAGGAGACCTTAATTTGGGGAATTAAAGAAAATTTAAGAAAGGAGCTTCAGAGCTTCAAAAAGAATTCAGGGTTGATAGAAAAAAAACCTAATAGCGTACTACAATATACCATTCACAAAAATTAATTCCAGATGAACTAAAGAGCTAAGTGGGTAAACATGAAGTATTAGAAATAGATATGCTGGTGGATAAGTAACTTGAAGTATAGAAGACATTTTCAGACAAGGTACAAAAACCATGAAGCAAAAGAGCAATTCATTTTACTACCTCAGAAATTTAAAGTTTTATATGAAAAAAGACAGTAAATACATTTTCAAAAAAGCAATGTTCTGGGAGAAAATATTTGAGACTTACATAACAGAGGCTAAAAGAATATAAAAACCTCCCCCAAATCAATAAGAAGACCAACAAGTCGATGGCAAGGTGGATTGAGCACATTAGTAGCTAATTAACAGTATGAAATATGCTTAGTCTTACAGTAATCAGGGAAGAGGGAGGTAAGATGAGATATTATTTTACAAAACAAGCTGACAAAGAGTAAAAAGATTAACATCAGTGTTTGCAAGAATGTGAGGAATGGTTCTCCCATCAGTGGTGGAAATATAATTCATTACAGCCCATATGGTGCACCATTTAACAGTATCTGTTAATATTTTCCATGTGAATTTGCTAACACCTAGCAATGCCACTGTTGTATAGCTCCTTAGAGAAGTGTTTAAACACATGCACAAAGACACGTATAAAGGATGTAATGGCCAAAAACTGGAAACACCCACTGGTTAAAAAAGTGGATTAGATAAACTGGTATGGCCATACTCTGAAATAACCTAGAGTAGAATAAATGAACAAGGTAGATCTACACATACAATCATAGAAATATCTCTAAGACAAAACTTTTAAAAAAAAAGCAAGTTTCAAAACATATCAATGGTATAATATGATTCATGTAAATTTTGTGAGCATGTGAAACAAAATCATCTATTTATATAGATATACATGTATGTATGTGAGCATAGAATGTTGGAACATCATGTAATGGTCATTATATCTGGGGTGAGAGGGAGGATTTTTTGCATTATTATGTTATTTTAATTTCTTGCAAGGAACTAATTTTGTGGAACTTTTTAATCTGAGCAATTAATTTTTAAAAAGCAGATGACAAAGTAAAACGTTGGTCTTAAGGGCAGAGCCAAAATGGCAGCGTGAGTAGAGCAGCAGAAATCTCCTCCCAAAACCACATATATCTATGAAAATATAACAAAGACAACTCTTTCTAAAATAGAGACCAGAGGACACAGGACAACATCCAGACCACATCCACACCTGCAAGAACCCAGTGCCTCACAAAGGGGGTAAGATACAAGCCCCAGCCTGGCAGGACCCAAGCACCCCTCCCCCCAGCTCCTGGCGGGAGGAGAGGAGTCAGCAGGGAGGGAGAGGGAGTCCAGGACTGCTGAAAACCCAGCTCCAGCCATGCAGACCAGAGAGCAGACACAGTGCATGCGTGGGGTCCTGGATACTAGGGTAACAGGGTGACAGGACTGGTGAGTGGGTGCCTGAGGCCGACGCCGGAGAACAAAGAAATGTTCTTTATTTCCTCTTTTTTTTTTTGGCGAGTGCTTTTTGGAAGTCTTAAAGGGACAGGGACCCCAATACTAG